GGAAAATATAATTATCTTCCATATTTGGTTTATTCTTTTCTTGGAGGAAAAGTTTAGAGATCTATAAATTGAATATATTTATTCTCATAGCAAAACACAATAGAACCCACAATGTACGTAGTTGCTTAGAGAGTTTTGTTTATGGACAGATTTTCTCTACAGTTTCTATGCTTTTAATTAGTTTTTAATTATGTAGGTCAGTTGGTCATATCAATAATAATATTATGTTTTTAGATAAGTTTTGTCATCTGATTTATCGACTATATGATATGCAATTGCAAGCTTCCGCATGACGCCCTAATTGCTTTCGAACCCAACAATATTTTGTTCTTTAAAATGAACTTTTTAGTTATTTGAATCAGTCGAGTTTCAGGATAGAGTTTGAGTATTACGTAGAAAAAACTCAAACAAATTAATTATTGAGAAATATTTGAGATATTTTTTTTATTATCAATAAAATATCTCGAGTTTGATAATGACATAGACAAATTAATTTTATTCCAAGGATGCCGATCTATTATCACAATTCAATTTATATTTGAATTTGGATATAAAGTTGTGGAGGTTAGAAAGGTATATAGTCAATGTTGCAAAATGATGTTTTAATTCCTTGCATTATTTTTAATTGTATATATAAATATTTTCTCTTCCTTTTATCAGAAACATAACATGATAAGATTTGATTATGACCTAAATTCATCCACTTTTTTAGAAAACAAATTCATTGAATATTGTTAAATGATCACATCATACTAGTAACACAAGTAATCTATATTGAATTAAGTTCTAAATTTTGACATGAAATATATGTGAAAACTATTAAAATTTTAATCCAATAATAAAATAACCACAATTTTAAAAGTGTAATGAATCTAGTGGTAAATATTTAAGGTTGAATCCATCAAACCTAATGGATTTATTTTATATTTTATTTAAATAATAATAATAATATTTCATAATTATATATATATATATATATTCTCTAGTGTGCACGTAACTTAATTATATAGGTAAGAAGGAAAGAGACTAGGTTCGAACAACAAATTAAAAAACATTGAACTTGTCTTAAGATAATTCTTACTTAATTAGTTCACTAATTTAAACTCTTTATATTCATAGTATATCCTATTCATATTATATGATATTTTTAGAATACATAAATAATTTCTTAAATTTATTAATAAATTTCATTCATACACTCAAATTACGTCTTGTTCTAATTAAACACTTGATAAAGTGGTTTATATTAGACATTTTCGGCTCTGATTTTTGGGGAAAAAATATCTACGTGTTTTAAGTGTCTATTAGATAGTTAAGTTAGCCATGTAAAATATGTCATATCTTTTAGTTATACACATCAACTTTAATTAGAACATGCGTGAGGTTTTACGACTTATCGAGGCAAGTGTGTATAATTAAAGGTTGTGACATAGTTTAAGCGATTAACTTATCTACATACCAGACATTTGAGAATGCACGCAAAAATATTATTCAAATTTGAGGTAAAAATATCTAATATGAATATTTTATCATGTGTTCAATTATAATAAATTTTAATTTAATTGTCTAAATAAAATTTACTAACAATTTACGAGGTCGTCGATGTCTTATCTCTAAAAGTAAAAGAAGTTGCTTTGATATACACAAAAAGAAGATCAATAAAACATTACTTTCTCCATCTATTTTTATTCATTCATGTTTTACTGGGAACAAATAAAATGACATGTTTACTATATCACCCTTATTAATAACGCTCATTTTTTCATTTATATGACTCACTTTTCTTTTTATCAATTATAAAAGAATGACACATTTACATATTTAGTAAAAATTTAACTTTCAAATATTTATTTTATAAATGAAATAATTTATAATCACACAAACTTTTATAATTTATTTTAAACCATATATTTCAAAAGTATTTTTTTTCTTTTATGTCAAGTTAAATCATATCATATAAATTAAAACGAAGAAAATATAACTTTATAAATTATTTAACTCTTAAAATATATATATATATAAAATAATAAATTATCTTGTGAAAAATCATTAATGGTAAAGGGGAATGTTTTTTAAAAAAATAAAAAATGGAATGTTTGGAAGTCACTATCATGGTACACGTGTCCTTATTTAATTGGACTATAAAGCCACCATAACTTAAACGTTTTTATACCACATACCGCTAAGTACTCTCGCGAAGCAATGCTGCCGTTTGCCACGTGTCATATAATATGGGTCCCATTACCATACTCGCCACTCAAATCTTGATAGGTGTTTGGAAGTAATTTGAAATTTTGAATTATAAAAATATGAAAATCGTAGATTGAAGTAAAAGATTAATAGGTAGTTGTATGATATTGAATTTTTCTTATCAATGATATTATTATAATATTTATTTCTTAGACTTTCATTTTTACTAAAATTATATGTTGTTTCCTTTTCTTTGTTTTCAATTTCATGTTGATTGTTATTAGTATAGGTATTTTATACGGTATTTATTTCTTTTTCTATTTATTTGATATGTTTTATTTGTGCTGAGGGTCGGAAATAATTTCTATACTTTTTATAAGATAAAACTAGAATTATGTACAATTATACTCTCACTTGTAAAATTTCACAAAATTTGTATATTATTGTTGTATCAAAACTTTTTTCAAATTTTATGCAACATTACCAAATAAGTACTCCTCATAGTCCACAAATAATAGTTTCCTTTATACACGCCACACTTTTATTTTTAATCTATCTAAAAAGAATGTTACATTTTTTATAATTGAAAAAAAAATTAACTTTAAAATTTTACTTTTATTATTAAATGAAATAATTTGTAGTCGTATAAATGGTGAGAAAGTATTTCAGACAACAATTTTTGAATAATCTTCCTTTCAATCATAAATTTAACTTATTTTAAATCAAATATTATCACAAAAAAAAACGAAAAAAAAATAATATTTATAATTACAAACTTTTACATTAAAAAAATTATTTTGTTCTTATTTAACAGGAATTTCAACCAATCGCAGTGAACCTTATCTTCTTCATCCCCCGTATAAATAGGAGTAAGCGGGAACACCATTTTCTTCAATCGTAAATTAGCCCTTCTAATTCATCTGAATTACGCTTCTGCCATTCTGGTTATGTTCACTGCAGGTCACCGTAAAACTGAGAGCCACCTCTCTGTACCTAGATTCTTCCGCTACCGCCGCCACAGGTAAACGTTAAAATCTATACAGCGTAAATGCCTTCTCCGAGAAATCACCGGAGAGGAGGTAGTGAGGAGAAGAATCGGAAGGGAAAGTTATCGGAGAAATCAATGTCGTTTCACGTACAGAGTTCGGAGAGCAGTACGTCGGAGTTGCTGCGAAGGCCGAGAACAGTACCGGATTTGCTCTCCGCCGGTAGAATTTCAGCCGGAACCGGTAACTGGCCGGAAGTGAAGGACAAGTTGAAGCTAACGAAGTTGCTGTTGAATGTTACGATTCAGAGAAGTATAGGTCCTGTACATGTTCTGATTTCGCTTGAATCGACGGTTCAGGATCTCATCGCTGCCGCTCTCCGGCAATACTCGAAAGAAGGAAGGCGGCCGGTTCTTACATCCGTCAATCCCGCCGATTACGATCTTCATTACTCGCAGTTCAGTTTAGAAAGTAAGAACTGTTCGATTGAACATTTCATCGCTGAATCTGAACCGTTGATTTTCACGCCGAACTGATATTTTTTTCGTTCCAGGTTTAGACAGGGAGGAGAAACTGATCGGATTAGGTTCTAGAAACTTCTTTCTATGCCCAAAAACGTCAAATTCCGACGGCGCCGGTGCCGGAACATCGTCTTCTTCCTCTTCTTCAAGCTGTGCAAAGCAAGCTGATAAAGCTACTGCTACAAAAATTTCATTTCCTTGGCTCAAATTCATGGATTTCATGCGGTGAAAGAAATTATACTCCAAATCTGTCACTGTAAGTTCGAAATCCTCATCAACGAGTTGAAAATTCACGTAGCTAATTAATCGAGCTACTAATATTCGTCCTAAGTTTTAAGATTATTGTACATTACATGTTATATTTTATACTATAGATTAATTTCGAGTATTTAGAATAATGTTTTGATGTTGTTTTGAAGTATGAGCAGAAAAAATAAAACATTATTTGTCACTTCCTTTTTATTTCGTCGGATTAAATTTGAATTTATATGAAGTATTATAAGGTTCATCTTATGGAACGATACTCCTGACATGATTTTTATAATTCTCGATACTTGAATTTGTAATCTTACCATAATTTATATCGATCTTTCTGTCACGTTACACATGCAACAAAGTGTAGAATTGTTTTTTTTGCATATTAATATATTTTTCGATATCGATTTTGTGAAATTGAGATTGGGATTTTTTTTATAGCCAACAGTATTTTCAAGTTGATTTCCAGCAATAATGTGTAAAATAATTGAGTGCCTCATTAATCGAGGAGGGTTACATCGAAACTCGAAGCTGATGAATGAAAGGATGCTACCAACTTTTCGTCAAAATTAAAATTTTAATTTTATTGATTCTAAATTTTAGAATGATAATTTCAAATATTAATAATTGTATTTATAGAATACTATAAATTTTCTATTTGTAAATATTCTGAATCCACAATTGTAGTGTCTACTAACAAAATCTTTGAAAGATTCCACAAAATTATTGTGTTTTACTATATTATGGTCAAATAATATTTGAAAATTTGTGCTTCCACGTGATAAATGTGGGAGTATTTTGGCTTTTTATTATGTACCACAAATTTAAGAAATGAATTGATGTTGTGTCTATTCAATACTAGTCACTAATAATATGAACCAAATTGGAGCATATAATTGTATGATTTGCCCTTTAAACTTGTCTTGATTTTTTTCCTTTTGAACTTGTGTCTAGCGGAACGTTACTTTGTGGAATAATATGATACAAAAATAAAAATTAAGAAAAAATTATTTATTTTTAAGGATAATAATTAGAGAGCAACACAAAATAGAAGCAAAAGTGCAAATGATCCAAATTGAAAGTGTACATAGGACCACAAGTTCTACAATAAACTTGAAGAAGGATAAAGACGCAACAAAGATCTTTTTATCGAAATTGATTAATTTTACGCTGATTGTCAATCTCTGCAATACCCTTCCTTTAATCGAACTTGGAATCAACAATTGTAAGTTGTTAGCAAGTAGTGAACACTAGACGAGCTCATAAGTATAGTACGAAACACGTTTTATCTATAGAGCAGAGCGACCTCATCTTACTTGCTTGCTTCTATGCAAAGGTTCCAACAATAATACAGTGCAATGGATAAAGTTGTTTCTCTCTTAATCAGACGTCTAACTTTCCCAATATTTGAATTCGTTGTCCAAACAAGAAAGATCATCAACCCAATTCAGTAAGTAGAACTAGCGTCAACTGATCACTTCTCGGCCATGTCTTTGAAAAATAGCGACTATGATGGACCTCAACTGATATCTCAGCTAACTTCTTGAATTAAATCGAAGACAGCCACGAGCAAGAAGGACACATTTTTATTTTTATTTTACCCTCCCTAGGAGCTCCCACCCATTTTGCTCCCTTGGTGACTTGAACTCGCAACCTTTGGGTTGGAAGTGAGGGGTGCTTACCATCCGAGCAACTCCCTCTCGTCAGAAGTATACATTCTTTTACAGTTAAAACAGAAAAAAACTGTTGGTCTCAGCTCTAAGAAAATGTGCTTTAGCACCTGTATTCATCTCAAACTTGTGATTTTGAACACAAATGCAAGGAGGAAAATCAATATGCAAGTATTATTGATGTCAAAAAGACCAGCACTACGAAAGTGATGTCATACCGATTGAGGATGAAAGAAAATCAGCAGCTGTTCTTGGCATAGCCCACTACAAATAAAGGAACATCTGCCAAATCTGTGTAGATGATATAGAGCAATGTAAGAAAATATGGTAAACTGATTCCGCCTCTATTCAGCACATGTAGCAGACTAGCTGTATCCGTCATCTTTGTAGATTGTTTTGAGTCGACCACACAAAACGCATGACTTACTTTTTCATATACTCTTCCATAGACCAAAAGTAAGATGATTAGTACCTGTGGGCTGTGAGTAGCATCTTGTAACAGAGTTGACTGTGAATGAACCACGGTCCTGCCGTCTACAAATTAACTGATCATTACTGTTGTTCGAACCAGAAACTGAGGATAAAAGGTTGGAAAAAGAGTACTATCTTCATGTAGGATCAACATGAAACAGAGGAAGCACTATCTACACATGAAAATCAAAAGGAACGAAGAATTGTAGCTTTCTGCTCTGACATCAGTTTTATCATGACAATTGCTGCTACTTATGAAATCAAAGGTGATTAGAGTTTCTTTTTTCCTGATATGTCAAAGGTGATTAGAGTTGTGTACCGAGACGTGTTATACCCTATGCTTTCAACTTATGCAAACTGTCAAAGAATGTGCTATATACCAGAGGAATATGTACAAGGTTATTCTAGAGCTAGTTTACATATATGGTTTTAAACCTACGATTAGACACGTCACAAAAGATAGTGTTGAGGTAATGATACCTGTCAGAAGAAGGTGGTCAGGCACCTTATAAGCCACAAACTTTTGCAGCAACGTTTTTAATCTCAAATAACCTATTACACCTTGCAATAGAAGGCATACAGACCAATACATCAATCAGACAAGGCTCTATGACGCTCTGAATTCTTCTCGTCAGTCTCCGAGCCACTGTCAAAATTGATACATTGGGTTTCCAGGGATCCATTTGAGTCGCCACCTGCTTTAAGGAGTTCCTTTAATTCATCAAGAATGAAGGGCTCTACCACCTTCCAGAAGAATGTAGCATTGTCCCCCAGAAATCCTATCCAAAAGACCCTCCCCCTCTTTTTTACTCGGCAGTTTAATGATTTGGCTTTCAGTGCTTTAAGAATACTCACAACACCCTCTGAACTTCCCTTTACTCTCAATAGAATATCACCAGATGATGTCCGGTAACCACCATACATATACCAATAAGCAAGAACGCGAGGTGACAACCATCTATGTATGAGTTTTGGTATACAAGGACGTCCATTGGGCCAGAACTGATCAGCATAGAAAGTAAAATAAGAATGTGAAATGGTGGTAAAAGAATTAGGAATGTCAGCAGTGCTATCCACCATCATATCATGAGAGCCTAACCACTCGTGAAATTCATCATGTATGTGTTTCTTAAAAATGGAATGGATCCTCGACTCTTCGTTAAATTCATAATGGATTGCATGCAATCTTCTCTCTCCATCTGATCTAATTTGCACACCCCCAAGAAGCAACCCCGTCAAAACCTCTCGTTTTTCTGGTGTGAGCTTCAGCCTTACAGGTTCTTCAACTACTTTCTCCCGCAAGCTAAGAACATAATCAAGTCTTTCCATCAACGAAGATTCAATCTCAACGTCGTATTTCTTTTGGCGAATCAAATTGTATATCTTTACTGCCTTCACATACTCTCCAGAGGTCATATAGCCTCTCAAAATACTGTTGCAAGAACGAGAATCAACACCAATTGCCACATTACCACGCATTTCATGGAAGATTTCTTCAGCCAGGCTCAGATTGCCAGTATTCACCAACGAATCCAAATAAATGTTAAAAACTGTCAGATTCGGATGGCAGACTTCACGGTACCGGAGAAAGGTAGATTCCAGTTTCTCATGTAAACCTGCAACGGAGTACATCCTCATCAAATCGATGAATGATGGGACCAGCTGTTTCATACCACTGTTTATGAACTCGGACATGATAGAATCTGCAAGGTCTAGTTTTTGATGTTTAGACAACACCTTTATTATTTTATGGTATGCTGCAACGGAGGTGGAACCCAATTGTTCCTGCATCCTCCGAAATACTTTCAAAGATTTTGTAGGTTCTCCAATCTTTGCATACACTTCCATACGATAGACAAAAGCTTGAGAAGGAGGACTGCCATCGATGGAGAGAAGTTTTGACCAAGTTCTTTCGGCTTCCTCCACATTCCCATCCTTCGAGCAAGCTCTTAAAACTGACACAAGTACCTCTTTGCTCTCTTTAATTCCTCTTGACCGCATTTCTGCTCTTAGTGCAGCAATTCTTTCCATATCAACCACATCTTGATAACTGTGAAGCCATATAAGACCGCCGAAAATATCTCTGTGTATTTCCAATCCAGAGGAAGTCAAGTTCTGATATATAAATTCAGCCTGTTTCAGAAAGTGTTTACTCTCGCTCGATGCCTTCCCCAAAAGAGCTTTAAACAGAGATTTGTGTAAGTTAAGCCGAGGCTTATAACCTCCCAAGTGCACCATGCGATTGTAGATGTTACAGGCTTCATCTAACACTGATGGTCCAGATGAACTAAGATAGGCAATAATGAGAATATGGAATGTAGATTCACATGGCACTCGTCCCTGATTAATTATGTCATCAAAAATCTCCCGGCACTTCAAGTGCTTTCGTTCCTTCCCCAAATAATCTGCTAGCTTTGTAGCTAGAGCGAAATCAAATCGAAACCAATGTTGCTGCATCATCCATTTGTAAACCTGCTATTTTGCATCAGACACTTTTAGATCTTTGTGATTTAGAGTTTAGACCCTATTATTTTAACTACATAATATGAGTAATTAGGCATCGGACAAATGGAAAAATAAGTTGTTTAACAAAGTGGATGCAATTAAATGTAAAAGCTTTAGACTTCAATTTGAGGAAGCAAGTAAAATGCCGATAGTTGCTCTTCCTTAGACATTCCAAATGAAAAAAACTCGGCACCATGGAGTGCGAACCTATTGAGCTGCTTAAAGTGCAAAAACGATGAAATACCTTGACAAGACTGGCTAGTACAGATACTTAATGTATAAGTACAAAATCTTAAGAAACACAAGTACCTTATCAGAAAAAATCAACCAAGCACAGAGAAACAGCAATTTTCTCCACCATTTGTAGCAAATATCATCGACATAATAGTTAGTGAGATAAGTGAAGCCACTAATGATCAACCCAAATATTATACCAACATAACCAAAAACACAAAAAGATACCAACGTTTTCTATAATAAAGAATTGACTAAACTAAAGCAAATGAACACATTACCCTAAAAGAACCTTCATTTTCGCGAATACGCATACAGTATAACAGAAATTATCTCCAAAATCAATAGCAAATTTCTTCCACATAATAGCTACCGATAAGTGAGGCTACTAATGATCAATCCGAAAACTTTTACCAACATAACCAAAAACACAAAAGATAACAACTTTTTTAAACTAAAGGAAATGAACATCATTACCCTAAAAGCAGCTTCATTTTCGCGAACACACATACAGTTCAACAGAATTTTTCTCCACATTCTCCAAAATTTATATCAAATTTCTTCCACATAATATATACTAATAAGTGAGGCTACTAATGATCAACCCAACTACTTTTACCAACATAACTAAAAGGCATAATACATACATATGCCTTTAACTTGGCATCAACTTGTATCTATGTCCTTCAACATGTCCTTCAACTTTGAGTGTGCACAAGTCAGCATTTAAGTTCATAGGCAAACCCAGGATTTAAAGATTTCGGGTGCATCAATATTACCTTAGCTCTAAGCTAAACTTAAAATAAAAACAGTGAAAAAGGGCTTTAGCTGGATTCAAACCCGGTTCTCAGGGGTGGTTCCCCTAGTTGTACCAACAACACAAGGGCACTCATATGTTTTTTCTTGGGTGCAATGCTAATTATATCCTAATTTTTGACAATTAGATATACATATATATACATGATTTTTTCAAAGTTAACGGGTGCACGTGCACCCTCACTTGCAAGTGTGGGTCTGCCTCTGCTTAAACACGTATAAAATTGAACAATTAAACACACATATCCTAACATAAGACATCACGTAAGATGCCACATGAATTGCCACATAGGACACATCTGCAGTCTGTCTACTTGTTCAACTCTATACTAGTTTAAATGTGTACTTATGCACACTCAAAATTGAAGGAGATATGACATAGATACCAATCGTCAAATAGGACATGTGTGTCTACTTGTACAACATTAAAAAAAAGGAACACATTACCCTAAAAGCAGCTTCATTTTCGCGAATTCGCATACAATGAACAGCAACAAAAGTCCCATCTTCTTGCCTAATCCACTTCCTTTGTGCATTCAAAATCCTAACCATAGTAGGCGTCTTATGAGCAGGAAGCTCTTTACAAAGCCAAGCTAATCTTGCCCTACGCCATTGATCAGGAATATCCTCTAATTCCCTCACCTCAACAGCTGGGGTTTCAAACTTCTTCAACTCCACAGAATCAAAAGAATCGTCAAAATTGAAACTTTCAGCAACCCCAGAAGCAGAAATGGGGTCCCAATTGTCGAAATCAACTTGGGTTTCTTGGGAATCCAGCAGAAGTTGTTGGGGTGAAGTGGAAGATGAAGAATAGGGGGTGTAAAGGGATATTGAGGGAGACAGTGAAAGGGGTTTTAGGGGAAGGAAAAAGGATGATGAAGGTAAGAGGTGGTGGCGATGATGCCGGCGGCCGCCGGGGGGTGAGGCCGGCGGCCGCCGTGGTGGTGGCGGAGTGGGGAGGAGAGAGGGCGGAGGACGGTGGACATGAAGGATTGGATAAGGGAAGTATTACATAACAGAGGAATGGACATGAAGAGTAGAGTGGTAAGCTTGTCGGAGTTGTCCAAACATAGCCTTATTCATTGCAAATGTTTGGTTTGATTATAGTTTGGTTGACTTAAAAGTTACTCAATTTTACCAATCAGGGTTGTGATGGAGTGGTAAATACTCCTTCATCTTTAGCCAAGAGGTCTCGGGTTCGAGTCTCCTTGGATATGAAGTCGCCTTTATTAGGGAGCGCTTTACCCCAATGTGAGACTTCCCGCACGCGAATTCGAATTTAATCGGGCTCCAATATGGATACCGAACACCGAATGGGAAACAAAAAAAAAAATGTTCATCAATTTTATAAGTGAATTTTTTGATTTTTTGAAGTGTTTGACAAAAATAAAAGTAACTTAAAATGAGTCAAAAATGACTTAAAATAAGTTAGAAATTGTTTGACAAACTTAAAAATAAGTTTAAAATGACTTAAAATAAGTTATGAACCAAAAATAGCTACTTATTTTAAGTTATTTTTAATCTTGTCAAATACTTTCTAACTTATTTTAAGTCATTTTTTGACTTATTTTAAATTATTTTTGCCAAACACTTCCAAAAGTAAAAAACAAACTTAAAAGTAAATTTGATCAACTTTTAAATCAATCCAAACACCTTCTAAGTCATACCTTATATAGAATAATCTTATGCTTTGTGAACGCTACTAAAAAAAACAAAAATAAAAGACTATAAATATGGCCATATGGGGAACAAAAATTTAAAACTACACAACTTTTAAATGCTTGCCATAAAGTGGCTACCTGATATAAATAGAAAAAATTATCTAATATACAACTTATTTTATCATATTTTTAAAATTTTCTGACATTTGAAAAAATTACAAAAAATTTCTCTCATATTCTCAGATACATCACTTTATGCGATGTATCAGTCAGATACATCACTTTACATGATATATCTGTCGAATACATCACTTTATGCGACGTACTTATCAGGACGTTGAGTGATGTATCTAAAATGGAGACGCGATATATCGGGACGCAATGTATTGGGATATATCGAAAACCGAAACACGATATTTCGGGATGTTTTTGAATTCCACCAAATTTAAGGAATTTTGTAGTTTGAAAAAAAAATAGGTATAAGATGATGTAATTATTTTTTTACTCTTAACACTATGAAATTTGTATAAAATTCTCATATAAATACTCCCTCCGTTTCACAAAGAATGACCTCCTTTTTTTTTAGTCAGTTTCAAAAAAATGACTTATTTCATTTTTTGGTAACATTTTACTTTTTGCTTTCTACGTGGCATGTTTAAGACCACAAGATTCAAAAGTCTTCTTTAATTTTTTAAACTTCGTGCCAAGTCAAACCAGATCAATCCTTTTGAAACGGAGGGAGTAACAAAAAAAAAAGTCAATAAAGAGTTCAAATATTGGCCCATAAATGATAATGGTATATTGGGCTACCTCAAACTAGGCCCATCGGGTTCTCTTAGTATACAAAAAATTTGAAAGTTTTAGTCAAATTGGGAAACCATAAACCCTAGTTAAGCGGCAAGTTTTTCTATATAAAGCCCTCTAAAACCCTCTCTCATACCGCCCTCTATAATCTTTGCTCTTCGCATAGCAGTCTTTTTTGCTCTCTTACTTCGCCCCCAATTTTTTTGAGCTTTCAAACAAACAATCATCAATGGAGTTTTGGGGTATGATTCAAATTCAATTTTATTGTGTTTTTATCTATTTTTTCTGCTTCTTTATTGGTGATTATTTGAATAGAAAGTAATTAACTTTGTTGGTTTGTTGTTGTTGTTGTTGAGCTTTTTTGTGTTAGTTTCTTAGTAGAGTTTTGGGTTATGGTTGAAATTTGATTTCTGTGTGTTTTATGTGTTTCCTCTACAAGTCTTGTTGATATACTCTGTTGCCCCTAGTATTTGAGCTTTTCAAACTACAATCGGAGTTTTGGGGGTGTGCTTGATAATCAATTTTATTGTGTTTTTTAACTGTTTTTTAATCGGTGATTATTTGAATAGAAAGTAATTAGCTTTGTGGGATTTTTGTTGTTGCCTAGTAGAGTTTATGGTTTAAATTTGATTTCTGTGTGTTTTATGTGTTTCCTTTAGAAGTCTTGTTGTTATACTCTGTTGCCCCTTATATTTGAGCTTTTCACATCATCAATGGAGTTCTGGGGTGTTTAAAAACGATTTTATTGTGTTTTTATGTGTTCCTTGTTTGGTTTTTGATTATTTGAAAATAAAGTACTGAACTTTTTGGGATTTTGCTGGGTATGTTGTCGTTGTTAAGCTGTTTTCTTTTTTTGTGTTAGTTACCTTGTAGTGTTTTGGGTTATGCTCGAAATTCAATTTCTGTATGTTTTATATGGGTTTTCTTGTTTATTGGTGATTATTCTAAAATAAAGTAATAATTTTTCAGGGTCATGGGCTTCTTCTGTTAGTTTTATTAGCCTGATATATTGTTCAATTTTATATTTAGATTCTGGTAGAGTTTTGGGGTATGTTTGAGGTTCAAATTCTGTGTTTTATCTCGTTCCCTTGTTTTACTTATTGATAATTGTATTTGTTTGAAAAGAAAGTTGGAAGTTTTAGGGTAGTAGAGCTTCTCTTTTTCTTTTGTTAGTTTGTAGTTTCTACCAACTGATATGATGATCAGTCTTAGAGTTTTGGGTATGTTTGAAATTCAAATTTTGCGTTTTTATTCGTTACCCTTGTTTTACTTATTGGTGTTTATTTGAAAAGGAAGTTAAAAATTTTGAGGGTTCGTTTTGTTTCTTCTTATGTTAGTGTCTAACTGGTATGTTGTTCAATCTTAGGCTGTGTTACTGGTAATGTGTATTGATTTTAGTGTTAATATTGTATGCACTTTGTGGGGTATGTGTAAAAGCAATTATTTGCCAGATTTTATGTTACTTTTTAAAGACAGAATCTTGATGAATTTAAATCCCACATTATTACATCAGATGAGAGAAATAAGTTGCAATCTTTGAGCTGAATGCCCTACTTTGAAATATAAATATTTTGTGAGATCACTTTTTAGTATTTGCAAGTTGTTGGTGTTCGTCAAAATTTTAGTGTGGATTTATTAAAAAAAGGCTGCGTACACTCCCCTGACCCCTCCCTCCTCGTGGGATTATACAGGGTTTGTTGTAGTTGTATGCTGTGTAACTTATTAAGGTGTGACATCTCTTTCACATGAACTATGTATAGGTGTTGAAGTGAAAGCAGGACAAACACTAAAGGTTAAGCCTGAGCTTTTCAAGCTCATTCATGTTTCCCAGGTTAGTTTTTTTCTTGGTATTCTTTCTCATGCTAGCATAATCTCTCTTTGCTTTTAAACGGATATTAGGGCATTTTTGAATGTTGAAATCTTGATTTTGTTTGTAGGCTGCCATCGGTGAAGTGAAGGATGTCAAAGAAGCCAAATATGTTCCACTACGCCTAACTGTTGGAGAAAACAGTTATGTCATTGGAACTCTATCCGCTGAGGATAGACCTCAGTTGATGTTTGACTTGGTCTTTGAAAAGGAGTTTGAACTTTCACATGGATGGAAAAATGGGAGTGTGCACTTCATTGGATACACTGCTGATGATCCTAGCGGTGATGAAATCGACTCTGGAGATGATGTTTTTTCAGATGAAGAGAATGTTTTGGAGGCACTGAATGGGAAACTTGAGGCTGATGTGAAGGATGTAAAGCCTGATGCAAAGAAGTCTGCACCTGTTAAGGATGCGAAAAATGCTAAGGTAGCTGAATCAAAGAAAGAGGCGGAGTCTGATGAAGATGACTCTGATGATGAAGATGATTCTGAAGATGACTCTGATGTGCCTCTAGGCATGGTATGATTCATAAAGACTTTTGTGATGCTTATTCTGCATCTTTTATCTTTTTATACGAGGAAAAATGTTATTCCTTATATTCTGTTTCTGTCCGGGTGTATTGTATTGAACATTTTCTCCTGTTGTTTATTCTAGGATGGTCCAGAAGGGATGGATTTTTCTGGTGATTCTGAGGATGATGATGATTCAGAAGAAGAGACACCTAAAAAGGTACTAAATTTTGGATCTTTCTGTGATTGTGCTCTATTTTTTTTCCGGACTTGTGAATGGATCGATTTGTCTTAATTATATTAGTTGTGTCTAATCGCTCCTTTTATGATAAAGGTTGAGCAGAAGAAGAGACCAGCTCCATCTCCTCAAGTAGCTCCTGGCTCTGGCAAAAAAGCTAAACAAGCAACACCCGACAACAAGTCAGGTTCGATATGTTTTTCATGCTTCATTTTTTTTATGTTTACATTCTCCATGGAGTGTTACTATACGAGCTTTGTTATTGACGACAACTTTTTTTTCAGGCGGTAAGAAAGGTCCAGCCACCCCGTTTGCTAAGCAAAATGGTAAACCTGCATTCAATGGTAACAACAAACCAAAAACTCAGTCCCCGAAATCTGGTGGTCAGTTCTCTGGCAACAAATCTAACAACAAGTATGTACAACAAACACCATAAAGCCCCTTCTTCCCCTTTTCCCCACGCCCTTTGCCTGAAACACGACTAATTTTTGATTGACAATACTTTGTTGCAGGAACTTCAGTGGCCAAAAGAATTTCAAGGGCAAGCAAGGAAGGAAGTAGAGGGCTTGAAAGATCTTTTTGAAGAGCAAAGATTTTACTTTTTATTTATAGATGTTTGGTCTCTATGGTTTAAGCTATTTTCCTTAGTTTTAGTAGGTCAATTTTTGATGAATGTTTTTGTTACCAGAAAGTTTTGCCCCTATCTATATTCATTACTTTCATTATATCTTCCTTTAATCTTATGACTTCTTAGTTTATTGTTTAATTGTGATAGTCTGTTGCTCTGCTTTGATTAAGAACTTTTTTTTATCTGTTGTCTATTGAAAACAATCTCTATTCTATCCATAGTGGTAGAGCATAGTCTGTTAATTTTTATTATATTAGTCTTTTTAACTTGGCCCCAATACGTGAATCTGGACGGAGTCTAGTTGGGCATTAGATTCCTTCGAACCTGTAGAATGTGTGTTTGTTGGATCGGAATTTGGTGAACCAACTCACAAAAAAGACAATTTTTAGGAGTAAAAGGTACTGTGAATTGTTATTCTTGAAAATAAAAAAACAATTTAAGTCAAAAAAGAGTTTTAAGGATAAGGGAAAACACGATTGATCCTCCACGTGGGGATTATTCATCATAAGATGGGTGGGGAAAGTTGATTAAATGCGATGCATACATTTCTTCCTTTTATTAAAGATTTGGAAAGAGATGCATACATAGAAGTACTATCTGCAAACCTATATAGTCTGTCTTCTAAAGTTGGTTACATATGTTGAGAAGGAAAAAAATGATGATCTTAGTGTTTACAAGGTGGTATTTTCATCTCTTAAATAACTCAATTTATTTTGCCTCTTTTTGAGTTTTTGGCCAAAAACATCCTTAAACTATACCTCAAACTTAAACTACATCTTTAAAGTACCATTCATTGCAGAAAACATCATTCAAGTATTTAAAAGTGAATAATTTTCGTCCTTATGTTAGATATCGTCAAAAAATTAAGGTATCCTACAAAAGCATGAGCAGTTCACGTGACTATCAACAAAAACTTTTCTTGCATAATTTCATTACTTGCTATAAGAAGTTCCTGAAAAAAATATTAAAAATCTTAGACACTATTGCTTACGGAAACAAAAAATGTTTTGAAGGTGTGAGATACATGATTTGCTCTTTTTCTCATTTAGTAACGGAATGAAGTTGGATAGGATACATGATCTGCTCTTTTTCTCATTTAGTAACGGAATGAAGTTGGATAAGAACACACCGAAGAAGCGGAAGTCTCCAACAAACGCCGCTTCTAGCATCTTCAATTGAGAAGAAGCATATGTAAACTATACCTCAAACTTAAACTACATCTTTAAAGTACCATTCATTGCAGAAAACATCATTCAAGTATTTAAAAGTGAATAATTTTCGTCCTTATGTTAGATATCGTCAAAAAATTAAGGTATCCTACAAAAGCATGAGCAGTTCACGTGACTATCAACAAAAACTTTTCTTGCATAATTTCATTACTTGCTATAAGAAGTTCCTGAAAAAAATATTAAAAATCTTAGACACTATTGCTTACGGAAACAAAAAATGTTTTGAAGGTGTGAGATACATGATTTGCTCTTTTTCTCATTTAGTAACGGAATGAAGTTGGATAAGAACACACCGAAGAAGCGGAAGTCTCCAACAAACGCCGCTTCTAGCATCTTCAATTGAGAAGAAGCATATGTCAACTAATAATATTTTTAATACCAAATTACATGAAAAATAAATGAGAAAGAACTATCAAATTAAAAGATTTTGCATAATGCTAAACTGAATTACTGAAAAAGTTCGCAATAGAATTTTCGGCATTTCTAAGAATAATAATTACGAAGGGATGACTTGATTTTTGTGGGATCTGTTAGTTTTCTAATAAATTCAAATAGAAGGATGAAAATTGTTCACTTTTAAATACTTGAAGGATGTTTTCTACTAAAAATGATACTTTTAAGGATGATTTTGGCCAAAAACGCCCTCTTTTTCATGGTACGTCAATTAAAAAATAACAAATATCATTTTTTCATGGTACATTCACCAGAAAGTAACAAAAATCGCTCTACCTTTTACAAACGAGGTAAAATCTATGTGCGCTCTACTTTCTTAAGACCAATGAAATTATACGTCATTTGGACATAAAAATTATCTCATTATTTCAACTTCATCAATAAATGGTTTCACTAAGATATTTCAGAGAACTCCTCAGAGGAATTTGAGGGGTAACAAACATCACAGGTTAGTTCAAATATTGTCCAAACGCCAACATACACACAGTACAGCCCGTACTGTTAGCACAGAGACCAAAATCAAGTAAAAGATGAAATACCTAAATGATATCATCAAGACACTAGCCATCCAGAACCTTAAATAAGTTCACCACCATACATAATAGCAAACAATAGTCTGGAGGATGCAAAACTAGCAGTTTCCCAAGTTGCATTACCCTAAACTAAAAATAGACTAAAGGAATAAGAATTTGAACATTGTCGTCTCCAGCTGCAGATCGGTCATTCTTCTCTCGTCCCTGCAAATGCCTGCGAAATCAAACCTGTTGGTATATATCCTCTGATTTGGCTCCACAACCTGTACACATTTCCCGGTAATAAGCAGTAATAAAAATGAAGAAAAAAGCCAAACAACAGTTTGAAAGCTTAGCCTGGATGAGCTCTGGTCAAAAGAAACCTGACTGCACAAACAAGCACACAATGCATTTGCAAAGATTATACAAGTAAACATCATGCAAGTTATCGTCAACGTTTCTTATTACATAGCACCCTAAAATGCAAGACCTAAACCTAGAGCCAGAAAAAGGACATTTCAGCCTGGACAACCTAGAAGAACAAATGGATGACCAAGAAATGTATGAAACTGAAATGTTAATACAACAAGATAAGTTTATTATCACTTTTTTTACATAATCCAATCCTACCTGACAATTATGGAATGGTTTATGCAGTGGAAAACCCTGGAAGGCAACACTGCATGAGTCACTTTAAACTGGTAAAATTACAGTGCAGAGAATTTACCACCAATTCGACAAGTTTTTCAAACATTGTGACAACATACAATTGCACCTTAGATTTCTGGCACTCCATCACCTAATTTAAATTCAATTCCAACTTTATAGAGAGATATTGCACAAATATGTTCTGATAGATGAGCCAAGAACACAACAAAACATGCATCAGTAAGTTATTTTCTCCCAAACAGTAACACAATAGTTTGTGGAATTTGAATAATGTCACATAGGATGTTGAGGAATTTCACTTCAAAACAATAAAATGTCGAAGAAAACTGCATACACCCTGTAACCTTAAAGAAAGAAAAATCACACTCAACAAAAATTTCAAAACTGAAGACACAAACATTTCGGGGAGGTGGTTGAAGTTTTGTTCCAATAGCTATGTTTTTGGGATAAGAAGTTTGTGAAAGTTGAGGATTGCGGGTGGAAGTTCAAATCTAAAAGTTCACTTAAAATTTATGTTCAAACCACTATTTCAACTTAAAATAATAATTTCAAAGGGCAGATGCGATAGTAAACAATGAATGATGCACAAAAAAAAGCATATCTAAAGCCAGAACACCAAAAAAAATTAGAGGTCGAAAACTTTTCAGATTGCTTATCAAAGAATTGAAAACCTGCACCGCCTGCAAGTAGAAAATGGGCATTAAGCTCTATTTCATGACAGGTGGCCCTCTCAGAAGACAATACATTAAGACAGAACAAAAGCATCAAAAATCATAAGGGATAAGGACACAAACCAGCACGATATTCTCACTCATTATCCATATGCACTTTCTTGTCATTGTTGATTATAATACTGATCTTGGTTTGGAGCAGATCCATTCCGATTGCTTTCATTTTTGTAATTACTGTCTGCATTAGCCCTGTTACCAAGTTCTGCCTGTTCTTTTTCCCTGTTCCACTGCTCTATTCTTGCACGCCTCTCTTCGCTGCCATCCCTAACTGGACTTCGGTCTCTCCTGCCACCGGGACTCCTACTCCTACCCCTCTTGTGGTCAGGGCTTGTACTTCTGTTCCTCCTGCTTCGACTCTCGTAATAATGATCCCTTTCATCATGCTTTCTACTATGACTCCTGTGAGAGCGGTCTTCATAGCTGCGATGCCTATAAGGGCTTCGGCTCCTGCTTCTGCTTTGCCTTCTCCTATACCTTCCAAACAATTGACGTCGCAATTCCCTAATTACTCAGTATAAAAGACAAGTCAGTTATAACTGAATTTCTAAGACTACTGTTTGTAAAAAAATTGTTCATATTTTTACATAGAGTGGGAATTATTACCTGCTGATCTTTTTGAGGTGCATAAAGTTGCAATATCCACCACGGTTGCAGACATTTTCCTCATACTGTCGACAGGTGGCTTCACGAAAATCAGTCACTGGAGAGAAATCAACAATGATGGGCCTTCCTGCAGAGTTTATTAACCAACGGAGTATAAGGAAATAGTTACATTATGAACTATTGGTGACAAACTGAACATGGGGCTATATGTTCTAATCAGGTTTGAGACTCAGAGAGCTACAACCAACCATTCACCATAAACTACGCAGTATATAGGTCAAATTATGTTGTTTATCGATACATACGAGACATTGAACACCCTTTACACAACACAAAATAAGTTCTTTGCTTCATTAGCCACCTCAATTTTGAAGAAAATAAAAGATCGGTGACCATATTGTAACAATTTTCTTGAAAAAATGTGTGGGATGGGGACAGAAAATTTAACGTTTCTTTACAAAAACATGTGGGGATTGGGATAAAACATAGTTTTAAACTGCCAAAAGTCAATTGATTCAAACAAATCCCTCACTAGTCACTACTCTTTGCCGCTTAGCAGAAGCCTCCTCCTTGCCATTTGCCTTAGCAGTCCTATCACCTATATGCACACAACATAATTTCCAGCGAAGGGTGTCCAATTGAACATTCTTGGTTGGGTGTACTTATGCCCCCTGGTCCCGATAATACAATATGTTTCACCATTTTGCATTCTTTCTCCTCTATTCAAATATTTTTTATTACTATGGTTTGAAAGAATAAAAACTTACCGGCATAGAATCTTCCTGTAAGATTCTTCAGTGCATTTGCAGCCTGCTCTTCCTCTCTAAACTGAACATAAACATTACCAACCTGCACAGGGTACAATACAACATAGTTAAAACCACCAGTCACGATCAACGAATGACTACAAGAAAGCACAGAAATCCTACCATGTGATCAGCCAGATTGTCACAAATATTCAGGCTCTCAATCTCTCCATACTTGTTCAGTTCTTCAAACAAGTCTTCATAAAAATCCTGCCACAGTACCATAATAAATCATATTCCAAATTTCCAATTAGTTACTTCTCCTCAAATATTTTCTAAGAACACAAAGTACGAAGCTATTTGATAGCTACCACTCCCTTCGTCCCAAAATAAGTGTTACCTTAGCAAAAATCTATTTTGGGACCGAGGGAGCATTATGAACCACTAAAAAGCAACGTCCTGCTTCCAATTCCAATTCCAATTCAACATAAAGCTTTACTCAAAAGAAGCAATCATATCATAAAACATGTCAAATCCAAGATCATTCCTTACTATAATACCTACAAGAACAGTCGTTCTACATGGAACACACAAATGGTGGCAATAATGATCAATAAAGCAGTAGACCTAATTAGGTATACCTTAAAAGAAGCAATTATATCTTAGAACATGTCAAATCCAAGATCATTCCTTACTATAAAACCTACAACAACGGTTTTTTACAAGGGACAAACAAATAGTGGCACCAATGATCAATAAAGCACGAGAACCTAACTGGGTATACCTCAAATAACCAATCATATCTCATATCACAGAACATGTCAAATCATGGCTCATTCATACTACTATAACAACAGTCTTTTCTTTCATGAAATGCACAAATAGTGGCAACAATGACCAATAAAATAGACAAGTAAAGCAGAAAAAACAACTGGGAATACCTCAAAAGAAGCAGTCAATATCATAAAACACACAAAATTCCCGATCATTCATACTACAATACCTCTCACAAGATTCTTTTATTTTTTCATGAATCGCACAAATACTAGCAAGAATGACCAATAAAACAGACAAGTAAAGCAGAAGAACTTCACTGGGTAAATCTCGAAGGGAAGCAATCATATCATATAACATACGAAAATCATGATCATTCCTTACTATAATTCCTACAACAATGGGTTTTTTTTACACGGAACACACAAATAGTGGCAACAATGATCAATAAAACAAAGAACTTAACTGGGTAAACCTCAAAGGAAAGCAATCATATCATATAACATAACAAATCCATGATCGTTCCTTACTATAATTCCAACAACAACGGATTATTTTACACGAAACACACAAATAGTGGCAACAATGATCAATAAAACAGAAGCACCTAACTGGGTATACCTCAAATGAAGCAATTATATCATAGAACATGTCGAATCACGGATCATTCAACTATAATACCTCTACAACAACAGTCCATTTTTTTCATGAAACACACAAATATAGAGGCAACAATGACCCAATAAAACAGACAAGTAAAGCAGACGAACTTAACTGGGTATACCTCAGAAGAAGCAATCATATCATATACCACACAAAATTCACTATCATTCACACTAAAACACCTAAAGCAAAGGTCTTTTTCATGAAACAACCAAATTGTAGCAACAATAATCAACAAAATAGACAAATTAAGCGAAAAACCTAACTGGGTATACCTCAAAAGAAGCAATCATATCATAAACCATGTCAAATCGTGACAAAAATAGTAATTTACAGCAGAAAAACTTAATGGGTATACCTCAAAATGTTCCTGGATTTTGCGAGGATCAATGGGATTGCCTTGAGCATCAACACCAGGGGTAATTGAATCAGGCCTTTGATACATATTTGAGAGGAGAATAGTAGGACTAATACTTGGTTTCGTATGGAGCCTCGAACATCGATCTCCATGTCTACAAGCACCGATCTTGAAGTAGAAAGGACAATTCACTCTATCCTTTTCAGTACCGAAAATTGAAGCTAAGTGTTCTGCCATTACGAATTTGGGATTCTGGAAAGTTCTGTTCTTCTGGGATTGTTGAGAAGATGAAGATGAGGAGGAATTATATACGATGAAGAAGCTTCTGGATAATTCTACACAATACTTTGCGGTTAGATAAATAATAAGAGTGAAATGTTGTGAACATTGAGGTGGTTTGCCCGAGTGGTTAAGGGGGAAGACTTAAGATCTTCTGCACATAAGTGCGCGTGGGTTCGAACCCCACAGCCACCATAGCATTTTTTTTTCTGTTTTTCTCTGCCGGGCTAAACGATGACATTCGATGGGTTCAGGTCGTTGGATGAGAAGTCAGTGTTGGAGTACGTAAAAGCTACTCCTTTTTCTGTTACGTTTTATATTCGAATCCCACAACCACCATACTTTTTTTTATTTTTCCGCTGAGCACGACAACATTCGATGGGTTCAAGTCGTTGGACGAAAAGTTGGTGTTGGAGTACGTAAAAGCAACTTCTTTTTCTGTTATGTTTTATATTCGACCCCATGTTCACCATACCTTTTTTTATTTCTCTGATGGGCACTATGACATTTGATGGGTTTAAGTCGTTGGATGAGAAGTCAGTGTTGGAGTACGTAAAAGCTACTCTCTTTTTTTGTTACATCTTTTTTATATTGGATATAAACCGATCAATGTATAACGTTTTTTATTTCTCCGCCAACGATGACATTCGAAGAGTTCAGGCCATTGGACGAGAAGTTAGTGTTGGAGTACGTAAAAGCTATTTCCATTATATTATATTTATATATTAGATAGACCGATTAATTTTTAACTTTTTTTATTTCTCCACCAACCTCCACATTTGATGAGTTCAGGCCATTGGACGAGAAGTAGGTGTTGGAGTACGTAAAAGCTACTCCTCTTTTGTTATATATTTTTTTATATTGGATAGACCGATTAACATATGACCCGATTAGTAACTGATGAATGATTGTTGAGTCGAACCGAATCTATTACTATCTTATTGTTTTGTAGCGGTTTAGCACATACAAAAATCGATAACTATTAAGTGCGACAATCGAACCTCGCTGGCGACAACGTGGGGTTCCACACGTTGGATGAGAAGTCAATGGCGGAGAATGTAAAAATTACTCCTTTTTTGTTACAATTGTCATAGTGGGTAAATCGATTAGCTTATATATAATTCGTATGATAACTGAAGTATAATTGTTAAGTCAAACTAAAGCAACCAATATCTCATCAGTTTGATACCGGTTTTGGATGGAAAAAAAGAAGATATTTGATCTAACACATGTAAAAACTGATAATCGATAAGTTAAATCATTAAATATAAAAATCAAACTGAACCACCTAATAAACACTCCTACTTCTTTCTATTGTGTCGTATGAACATTAACTTGAAAAATATTTTCTTGCTAAGCTTTGTATAAATCTCTTATATGAAGATAGTTAACAAAAAATCTATTATAGAAATTTTATCACTAATGTTTTCGATTACACTAGATAGAAGAAAAAAAGGCTATGCGTCTGCCGGGAGTCGAACCCGGGTCTATTGCTTGGAAGGCAATTATCCTAACCGTTGGACTACAAACGCTATTGTTGTCAAAATGTCAAGTCCTTTGATCTATTTACATGTACAATATCAGCTTTAGAGCTCGACTAATTGAATTCATATTGTAAAGTACCAATATGAGAGTAAACTTCTCCATAATATAATGTGTTACATACCTTGTTTGCATAACCGGATTGAGTACTTTCTGTTTGAAATAGTTATTAGGTTAGGACTATCCATAAAGATCGAGTTCATTAATTAGTTTGTCCTCATTCTAAACCTATAACGTATAGACTGTTGGGTTCGAAAGTGATTAGGGCGTCATACAGAAACTTACAATTGTAAATTATATGATAATAAATTGGATGACAAAAACTTAGACTAAAAAACATAATATTATTATATGGTTTAGCCAATCGGCCAATATATGAAAAACTAATTAAAAAAAAATATTAAAATTGTTAAGGGAAAATATCCTCATAAACAAAACTCTTAATTAACTACATTATGGATGTTTTTGTGTTATTGGTATGAGAAGAGGAGTCTTCAATTTATAGAGTTCCAAACTTTTTCCTCTAAGGAAAGAATAAATCAAATATGGAAGAAAATAATGTTTTTTCCTTTCAGAAAAAGGTTAAAACATTTATGTAATGTTTGTCTTTTCTAAAATAAATAAACTTCAAATAAGATAAAGAAAATCAGGACAAAACCCTAACATAGATACACCATTATAAATGTTTCAAAGACAAGGATTTTCTATAAGAAACTTCAGTGTATCTTCTTAGAGTTCAAATTGATAGAGATTTATCCATCTTGTGAGGATTCTCATTAGTTGATGACACAAATCATGATTGTTACAAATCCATTTTCGATAAGGATTATTTTTTAAAGTTTCATAACTACTATTTTACACCCCAATACTACACTTTCAAATAGTAGTAATACAAATGTATAAGATACGTACTAGCTTGTTCCAAAAAAAGAAGAAGATATATATACACTAGCTAGAGAAAAGAAAAAAAAAAACAATACTATGAGATAGATATAGTGAGAAAAGACTAATTTCAACTCGCGCATGATTTTTCATGCTAAATATGTTATGAAGATCTGAATTTAGCCTTTCAATTAGTATTGTAGAGCCCAACAAAAGAGACTTTCGACCTTTCTTTCTTAAAAAATAGAAAAGTTAAAAGGGTTATTTTTAAAAGGATAAAAACTCAACTTATTAAACTATATTTACTCATATAATCTAATTAAAGAAGGGGTCATTTTCAGTATTACTATTACGGTTAGTAAAATTAGATCCACTTATTCTAGGACCTGATCTTGATACTGGTCCATAACAATCAAAGTCGAAGCATAAGCCTATTATTAAATGAATTGGGGTCGTTTGGTAGAGTGTATTAGAGAAAATAATGAGTGCATTAGCTTGATGTATTAGTAGTACCTTGTTTGGTACACTTCTCTAACCTATGCATAACTAATGCTTGTATTAGTAAAAATACGCTCTATTGTGTATTGAAGAGTGTATTACTAATACCATCTATTTCTATGCATTAGTAATGCAATGGGTTCTAATGCATGCATTAAGGGGTCATTTGGTAGAGTGTATAAGAATAATGCTAAATAGAGTGTATTAGTAATACTTGCATTAGCAATGCATGTATTAGTTATGCTTGCATTAGTTATACATAGATTTTTTTATGTGTTGTTTGGTTTGATGTATTAAAAAGTAGCATGCATTGCATAAAAAATTAATTTATAAAGATACCCTCCACTATTATGATAGAAAAGATGTAAAAAAGGTTTTGGGGGGCAATTGAGTCTTTAATTAAGTTAATGCATGCATTAAAACCATTGCATTGTTAATACCTAGAAATTCATGGTATTAGCAATACAAAGCTTAATACACAATAGATGTATAACTAATGCTTGTATTAGTTATACATAGGTTGGAAAAGAGTAGCAAACAAGGTACTAGTAATACACAAGGTTAATGCATGCATTATTTTTCCTAATACACTCTACCAAACAACCCCTTTAACATTATTAAAGACACAATTACCCTCAAAAACTTTTTTTACATCATTTCCACTATGTGTGGAGGGTACTTTTGTAAACAAATATTTTTCTAAAAAATTATGTAATGCATAATATTTTTAGTACACCAAACCAAACATTGCATAAAAAAAATCTCATCATAACTAATATATGCAAGCATAACTAATACAAGCATTACTAATGCAAACATTACTAATACACTATATTTTGCATTATTCTTATACACTCTACCAACCGACCCCTTAGTGTAGGTTGTGATCCATATGGCTTTGGATCACCTTTGTCTAATCACCAATAAATAATGTGTTCATTTCTTTACTTTTAATAGCCAAACATAGTTTAATTTGTAAATTAAAAGTAGTCCTAATTTCTTTTAATCTTGTAAGTTGTCATATACTCATATTAATTATTGTAGATTCCATTTTGAGTGAGTTTGAAAAACTACTATACACTTTTTTTTTTCTATTTTTATTTGTTTATTTTGAATTTTGTACGTTTCTTAAAAGACCAATGAATATTATAAGTATTTTATCACAATAATCATATTAATCGATGTATAGTCTTTAACTATTGAGAAATTATTTGAACATATAATCCAAATTAAGGTGATGAAACTTACTTGGAATTTTATTTTTGAAAAAAAAAAAAATCACAATATGTCATGGCATTTAAGCTATTAATTATTGTTTTCTCTCTTTATAAAAGGACCCAATGCAATAATAATTCCAAATTATAAATCTTTGACATAGATTTAGACTTCTCCGATTAAGAAACTCTGATAATTACTTATTAGCTGTTGGAGTAATTTTTATATAGTGCAAAATCCAAAGTTTTTCATAGTTGATACTTTTGGATTTATATTTCAGAAATATGTCTTTTTCAACTCCTGTCAAGAATGGCCAATAATTTATGGGTCCATTTCTTGCAAAAACTCATAATGTGGCTATAAAGTTAAAGGTTACCAACTTAAGCATCCTAAGCGTTTAGTCTGCCGACAATTATTCTGAGTATTTTAATCAGAGGTCTTGAATTCAAATCTCGAATATAAAAACATTTTGTTAAGAAGCATTTTATTAAAAAAAAAATTACATAGAAACCTCTTCCATAAAAGGTTTCCCTTGTTGTTGTTGTTTTAATAAGTATAATTAATTTAACAAATTAAGAAATTAAAACTTTGTTAAATTTGGGTGGATTGAACTATAATATAGTATTATTTAGTTTAATCTCGGGATAACTTATTTTCAACCAAATGATTCGTAAGTTTAGAATTCAGTTATTAATTATACTTGAAGTAGTTATTTTAAATATTCATAATCCAAAAAATTGAAATACTGACTCCTACTCGGCTTACATACATATATATTCATTCAAGTACTTTTTTCCAATGTGTTTTTAGCAAGAGATTTTATGAACATATATATATGATATTACCCTTTTCTTTTACTTTCTTACTGACTTTGTCTACTT